TATACACAATGGAATATTATTCAGCCATAAGAAGAAAACAAATCCTACCATTTGTAACAGCATGGATGGAGCTAGAGGGTATTATGCTCAGTGAAATAAGCCAGGTGGAGAAAGACAAATACCAAATGATTTCACTCATATGTGGAGTATAAGAACAAAGAAAAACTGAAGGAACAAAACAGCAGCACAATCACAGAACCCAAGAATGGACTAACAGTTACCAAAGGGAAAGGGACTGGGGAGAATGGGAGGGATAAGGGCGGGGAAGAAGAAAGGGGGTATTACGATTAGCATGTATAATGTGGGGGAGGCATGGGGAGGGCTGTGCAACACAGAGGAGACAAGTAGTGATTCTACATCTTACTACGCTGATGGACAGTGGCTGTAATGGGGTTTGTGGGGGGGACTTGGTGAAGGGGGGACCCTAGTAAACATAATGTTCTTCATGTAATTGTAGATTAATGATAACAACCACAAAAATTCCTATCTGTCCTTGACCATGTCAGAAGTGTCACTTGAAGATGATAAGCCAGTTGTTGGGTAGAAGTCCCCTCACTTCGGTTTGGTGTTTTCTTGAGTGGTCTCAGGCTATACGGCTTTGCAGGACCATCACAGAAGCTGTTCTGTGTTCTCATTGCATCTTATAGGGGAGCACACGATTCCTATTTCTCTCTTCACTGGTAACACTTGGATCCCTTGAAGGCGTGCCTGCCAAGCTTGTCCACTGTAAAGTTACTCTTTTCTTTGTAATTAAAGGTATTTTGTAGAGAGGTATTTTTTTCACTGCAGCTTTTAAAATTATTTTTATATTGCGGTACATACAGTAAAATGCACAAATCTTAGTGGACATCTTGAATTTTGACATATGTTTATACTCATGTAACCATTGCCCAGATCAAGATCAAACATTCTAATTTTTTTAACCCCTCCACCTATTTCACCCATCCCCCTGTCCCCCTCACTTATGGCAACTCTGAGTCTCTATTTTGATTTTTAGATTCCACATATAGGTGAAATCATATGGCATTTATCTCTGCCTAACTTAATTCACTTAGCATAATACCCTCTAGGTCCATCCATGTTGTCACAAATAGAAGATTTCATTCTTTTTCATGGATGAGTAGTATTCCATTGTAATATATGCACCACATCTTTTTTACCCATTCATCTATCAATGGACATTTAGGTTGCTCCCATATTTTGGCTATTGTAAATAAACGCTGTCATAAATAGAGGACTGCATATATCTTTTTGGATTAGAGGCTTTGTTTTCTTCAGGTAAATTCCCAGAGGTGGAATTGCTGGGTCATACAATATTTCTATTTTTAGTATTTTTAAGAAACCTCCATACTGCTTTTCATAGTGGCTGTACCAATTTGCAATCTGTAGAGAGATACTTTGAAACAAATTATCCTGTTCCTCATCAAACCTTCATTTTACTCACATTAGTGTGGCCTCATAATTTTCACTTTTATACAGTGGCTCAAAATCTATTATTATCATTATTTTGATGCCCAAATTGTCCTACATTCAGCCAGTGAAAGCCTCTTCAGGTGGCTTTTGTGTCCTTTTGACATGTCTTCATTCTTTGAGCACCCCCTTGCTTTCTGGCATAAGATATTCTAGGTTTATCAGATAATTTCCCTGCCCTAGCCCAGGAATGCCATTTCTTAAAGGAGCCCTGGTTCCTTTTACTGTAAAATGCTATTTAGATACCAAGAACTGGATGTCGGGTGTGTTCAGTGACATTGGGGTGTTGCTGTTCCCGGGCCCTCTTAGTGGATCAGCTAGGGAATATACATATGTACACACCCCCATTATATTTCTCTCCCTATATATAGAGAGAGAAATTCATCTATCAATGGGCATTTATATATATGTATGTATTATATATATAGAAAATGCTGACAGGTGATAGAAAACCATGAATTCAGACTGATAACCTTCAATTCCAACATCAAACCATACAGTTCATTCTAGATTCTTCCCACATTTGTAACCTCCTTCTCTGATAGTAGAACCCCTGTCTTCTTTATACGTACTCTGTTTTCTTATTTGATCCATCCTCTCATATGTAACTTACCTCTGGTTTCCACTCCCTGCCATGCTGGGCTCCCTTCCCCTTGCCTGGGTCTTGACATCCTCCACAATTTCCCACCCCAGAGGCACTGTGCAGCAGCTCTGACACCCACTGCAGGCTACAACATGGGGCAGACGTCCTCATTCCATTCAGGCTCTGACCCTTGGCTGGCCTGTCCCTCTTTGGGGTCACTTTCCCTTTCCTCACTGGCTGGGTTCTGATGCTCTATACCAAGTGCCTACACAACACACACAAACACACACAGACACACTTCCTTTGTGGACAACTCCATTCCCTGTGGGCTGACAACCTGAGCCACCTGCTTGTCTTTAACCCCCATTGCAGTGCCTACCTTGCTGTGTGTCACCTACTGGCTTTATGACTGACCTAATTGGGAAAGGGATGGGATAGGGAAGAACTGCCCTTTAGAAGGTCCTTTGTTGGAGACTGACATTGTGTATCTCAGCAAAGCTGTAACAGGCTGCTGTTTCTTCCCTTGAGGACCAGAAAGTAGTTGGCTTGCACTTAGAAGCCATGTGGTATAAGGAGTACTTACTTTTTTTTAAACTACATGAAACCACACTCAGAGCCCAGGGCAGTTCACGACGCTGGGAGACACATGGGGGGAACACCAGACTGAGGATGCCCAAGTCTCCCTGTGTGCTCAGTATCGTTGAGTGGAATGGCACACAGAATTGCTGAAACCATTCACATCATTCACTCTTGCAGTTTGTGTCATGGGCATGATTGGAATCACTTGCAAATTTCACATTAGTTAAATATAAGCAGTTAGTAAGTTAAATCTTATTCTGTAACTTGTTTTTGTCACCTGTCAGCATTGCAGTTTTTCCCTTAAATCTACCCTGCTTTTTCCCATAGCCCTTTGGTTCTCCACAGCACAAACACATCAGCTCTTACATACAGGTAGAAGTGTAGGCAATTTTCAGGGTTTCACACCACAGACGGCGCTGCAGCAAGTCTTGGTTGGTGTGTCTTTGTGATCTTCCAGTAGGATTTCTGTAGAATAGACTCCTAGATGTGGTATTGCTCAGGCAAAAGTTATATGCACTTAAAATGCTGATAGTTACTGTCAAAGTGCCATTAGAGAGGGTTTGTCAATTTATACTTCCTCACTAACTTTCTAAGAGAGGGCCCCTTTCCTCTGACATTGCTCCGCAATGGAATTTCCAAGTGCCGGCCTGGAATAAGCTGTTCTTCCTTCTCCACTTTCTCATGGGAATAGCTTATATTATATAAGAAAAAAGGCACTGTGGATTTAGCAAGCTACTTTGGGCTGCAGCCAGAATTATTGCCACATCCATTTGTGTGTGTGTGTGTGTGACTTCCACTAAGTCACAGGGAAGGGCCCCAGAAAGGGTGTAGTTTTCCCTGGGTTCACCATTCTCCCTTGTCTCAGGGGACCTCTCTGTTTTCCTGCCAGTGGGGCCTACAGGCAGGCTCAGCTTTCTATCAGAGGGGCTGGGGTTCCTTCCTGCAGCAGTTTCCTTCAAGGGGTTGGGGACATCGAGCCATACACATCCAGTGTCTTGATAAAATCCATTTCCCCACTGACCTTCTGGTAGGCTGCTCTGGCTCGGATTCTGTAGCCAGTATCTTTTGTCTGGTTATCCATGAATAATACCAGAGAATGAAAACATCCCATCAGAATGGTGTTCTATAGGTCAAGCAGGAAACAGACACATTGCTGAGACGGTTTGCTCCTGCACCTCAGGGACCCAGGGCGTGACTTGGACAGCTCAGGAGGTTATTGGTGGGGTTCACTCCTTGCCTCCTGGCAGGAAAGTCGAGTGTGCAGGGCACGGGGGCTTCACGCACCTCTGCTCTCAGTGGCAAATGTGAGGCATGGGTTCCCTCTGGAAGAGGATGTTGCTCTTCAGCTCCACGTGGCTTGCCACCCAGGAGAAACAGCCAGTCTCTCATTTGATCAGAGAAGGCAGAAATCTACATGTTTTATGTGGTGGCTCTAGTGTTCAAAATTTGAGCTGATGTCATGCCAGTCCATTAAAACTGGTTTGTGGATCACTTATGCATTAAGGTCGTCAGTTTATGTGTGTGCATGGTCCATCCCATCTTGTGGCAGCAACTAGTAACTCCCAGGCACCAGGAGCACCGGCTGGAGGAAGGCCAGGGATGGGGAGGAGGGCTGCTATCAGGAGGATGACCATTGCAGCCAGGGGTGTGCTGCTGACTCCGTGACTCACCGCAGGTGGTGCGAAGAGGGTGGACTTCGGAGTTGGCCTTGGGAGATTCACCTAACTGCTGAGGTCCCATTTTCTCACCTGGAAAACAACGGTTTGGAGAATTAAATGGTTACCTAACAGCAAATTCTACAAACATGCATACAACATGCCAGACACATTATGTATTTATTCGCTGTGGGCAATCATGTAAATTTTGTGTGCCTCAGTTTCCCAATGTGTAAAGTGGGGAAGACAGTACCCATCTCAAAGGGTTCTTATGAGGAGTAAATACGAAGTGCGATGGTGTTTAGCAATCCTACCTGCCTAGTAATGTTCTTTTTGCTATTTCTAATCATCATAAAAGTCCTGCAAATCAGTACTACTATGCCAGTATTTACAGGTAAAACTAGGGTTTTGAGAGATGGAAAGACTTCCCCAAACTAGACGGCTAGGAATCAGCAGAATTGGACCCCACAGTGAGTGTCTCTGATGCATGTAGAGGGCCTCACAGGACCTCTGAAAAATATTCTTAGTTCCTTTTCCTTTTATTTTTCTATTCCTTCAAAAGTTCACCTTTTAGCAGATAGACTTCCTATTGTGTGCCATTACTTTTTAACAAAAGCTTTCCTAGAAACTTGCCCTGGTCTGATTGGTCTGAAATAAGGTGGTTGGTAGAATAGGGTTTCAGTGATCAAAGCTCCCGCCCCAGAGAAGTGAGAAACATTATTTCTCCACAGCTCCCAACTCTGAGATCCGTCCTGGCCAAACTGGGGGAATTCAGCCCACCAGCAGACCCTTTGAACTGACAGATGGGCTCCAGGGTGCCCCTGGGAAGGCCATGCCTCTTCACCAGGACGCAGCCAACCCCATGTGAAAAAGGCTGTGGGACAGTCAAACCACAGAAAGAATTACTCTCCCCTCAATTTTATTATAAGAAATTTAGACATGCCGAAAAGTTGAAAGAGTATAATAAATACCTATATCCCCTCTACCTAGGCTCAGTAATTCTCACTATCTTTTCCACGTTTCTTCAGTCACGCTTTCAATCTTTTTACCTATTTATACACTGTATTTTGGTGAACCATTCTGTTAGATGTCAGGACAATTCACTCCTAAATACTTTATAGCCTGCATCTTCTAAAAATAAGAACATGCTCCTAGGAAACCACAATTCTACAATCACGCCTAAGGAAATTACCTGATTCTCTAATATCATCTAATATTCAGTCAACATCCATTTTTCCCTACTGTATTCAAATTATCTTCTATAGTCAATCAAGGCTCACTTATATGTCTCTTCAGTTTTTTAAAATTGACAACAGGCACCTTCGAAGAGATCAGGTCAGTTGTTTTGTAAATGGCTCTACATTCTGGATTCCCAAAATAAAGGCTGCATTTCCTTTAGCCTTTGGTCTCCCTTGTAGTTGAATATGGATATACAACCAAATTCTACTCAATGAGGTATGTGTGAAAGTATTGTGTACAACTTTTGGGAAGTCTTCTTCTGCTTGGAACATGGGTCTGATGGCTGGAGCTCTGGCAGCAATCTCATACCTGTGGATCAGGGTTTCCCAGAAGCAAATGCTGGAAAGAGCTTCACAGAACTACATGTCTGTTTATTTCCCAACCTCTTTTATTTGAGAAAATAAAACCTTGTGTGATTAAGTCACTATTAATTGAAATTTTCTCTCATATTTAGCTACATTATTAATCCCAGCCAATTAAGGCCTACTGTAATCTTGTATTTGCCTGGAGGATACATTATCTGCTTTCTACTTGGCTAAAACACATTTCAGGATTTCTTTCCTCCAGGTGCAGATCTCTAGTGCCAGCACACCAGGAGAATGTACTCAGACTATCATGCTACCCACCCTCTAGTGTTACTGAATGAATCTTGGCAGCTAGGGAAAGGGAAATTTTCTGTAAGAACCTTGTGGTTATAAATGTGGGAAGTGAGGTTAGTGTGACTTGTCACGTATCAGAGGGCACCAGGGGACAGATGTGTGTGCAGAGGCAGAGTGGGAATGACACGGAGTTAGCACACAGCAGGTTTGTGAAATACCTGGGCGGCAACATGGGCAAAGCACCAAAGAACAGGGCCTTTAGGAGAGGAAATGCAATAAATTTGTGTTCAAACTCTTTGCACTCTTGCTAGCCAAGGAGAAGTTTCCTGGGTATAGAAAACTCCACTTCACACACACACACACACACGCACGCACGCACGCAAGCACGCACGGATGGGGAGATAGGGCTGACCCATACTCATTTGTTCTTTCACTCACTCATTCTTGACCGATCATTTGTTGAGATCCTGCTTCCTAGCAGTGGCTGTGCTACATGTTCGAGATGAAGACAATCAAGTTTTTCACCACATCTCTGTGTCTCACAGGAGACAAATTCAAATGCCTCTGATGAGAATCCAGTGGGCCACATCCTACAACAGTGGAAGGAGCCAGGTGCTTCCCTTGCAGAAGGAGAGTCACCTGGGGGCAGAGCCAGGTACAGGTGTGCTGAATTCTCTATGTGACCAAGACCAATCTCATACTATTTCCTGAAGTCATAATTATGCAAATCCCTCATGTTTTGTGAATTAGAGCAGCCCCATTTAAACACCATTCTTTCTAGAATGATCTGTCATGGGACCTCATGATTTCCCACATTTCTATCTTTTGAGATAGCTTTGTCCTATTCATGGTCAACATTTAACTTCCTCTTCTGAGGAACGTTTTTCCATTATGTGTTCATAATAATGTTAATTTCAATAAATGACATTCATGCAGCAATTTTTAAAATTCATATTTTATAAAGTAAGGAGATCATTTTTATTGCTTCATCATCTATATGCTGGCTTCTTTTTTTCTTGAAAGTTCTGGCCTTTGTAACTTCAGAACAGGAGAGTCCAATCTGAAGAGGGAAAACGTTCCATTCAGCACTTACTCAATTTCCTTATTTAGTGGTATACATAGAATTTTTGAATTAGCTTTTAGTTCTGGCATACTTAGTTAAGTCTAATCTTGCTTATAAAAATGGGACTTAATACTTAATTCTCAGAAGACTTCAAAATGCAAGCCAAAGCTTTTCTTTCAAGGATGTGGAGGGCATTCCTCATTCAAATATGATTCATGGTATTAAAAAGAGAACCACAGGCCCAAATATGGAGTCAGTCATGCTAATGGTCCTATGTCAGCAAATCAAGACTTAATACCTAACTTAACTGCAGTTTCAGGTGATCTTGCCCAAAACAATGGAATCTCTGCTAATAATTTCATTTTTTTCTGTTCCCTCCCTCCCTACCTTCCCTCTTCTGCAGTTCAACAAAGCATCTCTTCTACTTGCTAGAGAGGATGCTGTCCGATTCATGAACTGCTTACTAAAGGCAATTAGATCTTTGAATTTGTTTTTTTAACCATGATCTTATAAAGTATGAAGATATTATATGCTGGGGTTTTTATTTTTCCCCAACAGACTACAGTGTCAACATTCCAGGGGTATCTCTGATCTGAGCATTCATTCTATCCATTCTGGGAGAGAATTTACAGATGGACAGTTTTAAAATGAATACTAGGGTGAGATCAAAACTAGACATTACTTGAAACCATAACACACACAGACACACTTCCTTTGTGGACAACTCCATTCCCTGTGGGCTGACAACCTGAGCCACCTGCTTGTCTTTAACCCCCATTGCAGTGCCTACCTTGCTGTGTGTCACCTACTGGCTTTATGACTGACCTAATTGGGAAAGGGATGGGATAGGGAAGAACTGCCCTTTAGAAGGTCCTTTGTTGGAGACTGACATTGTGTATCTCAGCAAAGCTGTAACAGGCTGCTGTTTCTTCCCTTGAGGACCAGAAAGTAGTTGGCTTGCACTTAGAAGCCATGTGGTATAAGGAGTACTTACTTTTTTTTAAACTACATGAAACCACACTCAGAGCCCAGGGCAGTTCACGACGCTGGGAGACACATGGGGGGAACACCAGACTGAGGATGCCCAAGTCTCCCTGTGTGCTCAGTATCGTTGAGTGGAATGGCACACAGAATTGCTGAAACCATTCACATCATTCACTCTTGCAGTTTGTGTCATGGGCATGATTGGAATCACTTGCAAATTTCACATTAGTTAAATATAAGCAGTTAGTAAGTTAAATCTTATTCTGTAACTTGTTTTTGTCACCTGTCAGCATTGCAGTTTTTCCCTTAAATCTACCCTGCTTTTTCCCATAGCCCTTTGGTTCTCCACAGCACAAACACATCAGCGCTTACATACAGGTAGAAGTGTAGGCAATTTTCAGGGTTTCACATCACAGACGGCGCTGCAGCGAGTCTTGGTTGGTGTGTCTTTGTGATCTTCCAGTAGGATTTCTGTAGAATAGACTCCTAGATGTGGTATTGCTCAGGCAAAAGTTATATGCACTTAAAATGCTGATAGTTACTGTCAAAGTGCCATTAGAGAGGGTTTGTCAATTTATACTTCCTCACTAACTTTCTAAGAGAGGGCCCCTTTCCTCTGACATTGCTCCGCAATGGAATTTCCAAGTGCCGGCCTGGAATAAGCTGTTCTTCCTTCTCCACTTTCTCATGGGAATAGCTTATATTATATAAGAAAAAAGGCACTGTGGATTTAGCAAGCTACTTTGGGCTGCAGCCAGAATTATTGCCACATCCATTTGTGTGTGTGTGTGTGTGACTTCCACTAAGTCACAGGGAAGGGCCCCAGAAAGGGTGTAGTTTTCCCTGGGTTCACCATTCTCCCTTGTCTCAGGGGACCTCTCTGTTTTCCTGCCAGTGGGGCCTACAGGCAGGCTCAGCTTTCTATCAGAGGGGCTGGGGTTCCTTCCTGCAGCAGTTTCCTTCAAGGGGTTGGGGACATCGAGCCATACACATCCAGTGTCTTGATAAAATCCATTTCCCCACTGACCTTCTGGTAGGCTGCTCTGGCTCGGATTCTGTAGCCAGTATCTTTTGTCTGGTTATCCATGAATAATACCAGAGAATGAAAACATCCCATCAGAATGGTGTTCTATAGGTCAAGCAGGAAACAGACACATTGCTGAGACGGTTTGCTCCTGCACCTCAGGGACCCAGGGCGTGACTTGGACAGCTCAGGAGGTTATTGGTGGGGTTCACTCCTTGCCTCCTGGCAGGAAAGTCGAGTGTGCAGGGCACGGGGGCTTCACGCACCTCTGCTCTCAGTGGCAAATGTGAGGCATGGGTTCCCTCTGGAAGAGGATGTTGCTCTTCAGCTCCACGTGGCTTGCCACCCAGGAGAAACAGCCAGTCTCTCATTTGATCAGAGAAGGCAGAAATCTACATGTTTTATGTGGTGGCTCTAGTGTTCAAAATTTGAGCTGATGTCATGCCAGTCCATTAAAACTGGTTTGTGGATCACTTATGCATTAAGGTCGTCAGTTTATGTGTGTGCATGGTCCATCCCATCTTGTGGCAGCAACTAGTAACTCCCAGGCACCAGGAGCACCGGCTGGAGGAAGGCCAGGGATGGGGAGGAGGGCTGCTATCAGGAGGATGACCATTGCAGCCAGGGGTGTGCTGCTGACTCCGTGACTCACCGCAGGTGGTGCGAAGAGGGTGGACTTCGGAGTTGGCCTTGGGAGATTCACCTAACTGCTGAGGTCCCATTTTCTCACCTGGAAAACAACGGTTTGGAGAATTAAATGGTTACCTAACAGCAAATTCTACAAACATGCATACAACATGCCAGACACATTATGTATTTATTCGCTGTGGGCAATCATGTAAATTTTGTGTGCCTCAGTTTCCCAATGTGTAAAGTGGGGAAGACAGTACCCATCTCAAAGGGTTCTTATGAGGAGTAAATATGAAGTGCGATGGTGTTTAGCAATCCTACCTGCCTAGTAATGTTCTTTTTGCTATTTCTAATAATCATAAAAGTCCTGCAAATCAGTACTACTATGCCAGTATTTACAGGTAAAACTAGGGTTTTGAGAGATGGAAAGACTTCCCCAAACTAGACGGCTAGGAATCAGCAGAATTGGACCCCACAGTGAGTGTCTCTGATGCATGTAGAGGGCCTCACAGGACCTCTGAAAAATATTCTTAGTTCCTTTTCCTTTTATTTTTCTATTCCTTCAAAAGTTCACCTTTTAGCAGATAGACTTCCTATTGTGTGCCATTACTTTTTAACAAAAGCTTTCCTAGAAACTTGCCGTGGTCTGATTGGTCTGAAATAAGGTGAATAGGGTTTCAGTGATCAAAGCTTCCGCCCCAGAGAAGTGGGAAACATTATTTCTCCACAGCTCCCAACTCTGAGATCCGTCCTGGCCAAACTGGGGGAATTCAGCCCACCAGCAGACCCTTTGAACTGACAGATGGGCTCCAGGGTGCCCCTGGGAAGGCCATGCCTCTTCACCAGGACGCAGCCAACCCCATGTGAAAAAGGCTGTGGGACAGTCAAACCACAGAAAGAATTACTCTCCCCTCAATTTTATTATAAGAAATTTAGACATGCCGAAAAGTTGAAAGAGTATAATAAATACCTATATCCCCTCTACCTAGGCTCAGTAATTCTCACTATCTTTTCCACGTTTCTTCAGTCACGCTTTCAATCTTTTTACCTATTTATACACTGTATTTTGGTGAACCATTCTGTTAGATGTCAGGACACTTCACTCCTAAATACTTTATAGCCTGCATCTTCTAAAAATAAGAACATGCTCCTAGGAAACGACAATTCTACAATCACGCCTAAGGAAATTACCTGATTCTCTAATATCATCTAATATTCAGTCAACATCCATTTTTCCCTACTGTATTCAAATTATCTTCTATAGTCAATCAAGGCTCACTTATATGTCTCTTCAGTTTTTTAAAATTGACAACAGGCACCTTCGAAGAGATCAGGTCAGTTGTTTTGTAAATGGCTCTACATTCTGGATTCCCAAAATAAAGGCTGCATTTCCTTTAGCCTTTGGTCTCCCTTGTAGTTGAATATGGATATACAACCAAATTCTACTCAATGAGGTATGTGTGAAAGTATTGTGTACAACTTTTGGGAAGTCTTCTTCTGCTTGGAACATGGGTCTGATGGCTGGAGCTCTGGCAGCAATCTCATACCTGTGGATCAGGGTTTCCCAGAAGCAAATGCTGGAAAGAGCTTCACAGAACTACATGTCTGTTTATTTCCCAACCTCTTTTATTTGAGAAAATAAAACCTTGTGTGATTAAGTCACTATTAATTGAAATTTTCTCTCATATTTAGCTACATTATTAATCCCAGCCAATTAAGGCCTACTGTAATCTTGTATTTGCCTGGAGGATACATTATCTGCTTTCTACTTGGCTAAAACACATTTCAGGATTTCTTTCCTCCAGGTGCAGATCTCTAGTGCCAGCACACCAGGAGAATGTACTCAGACTATCATGCTACCCACCCTCTAGTGTTACTGAATGAATCTTGGCAGCTAGGGAAAGGGAAATTTTCTGTAAGAACCTTGTGGTTATAAATGTGGGAAGTGAGGTTAGTGTGACTTGTCACGTATCAGAGGGCACCAGGGGACAGATGTGTGTGCAGAGGCAGAGTGGGAATGACACGGAGTTAGCACACAGCAGGTTTGTGAAATACCTGGGCGGCAACATGGGCAAAGCACCAAAGAACAGGGCCTTTAGGAGAGGAAATGCAATAAATTTGTGTTCAAACTCTTTGCACTCTTGCTAGCCAAGGAGAAGTTTCCTGGGCATAGAAAACTCCACTTCACACACACACACACACACGCACGCACGCACGCACGCACGCACGGATGGGGAGATAGGG